AGCTTCTCTTAGGCTTTGGAGAACTATCATCATCACTATTGTGCTTTGGTGTTATTATTAACCCCTTGACTGTTGCAACCCCAAATCCTGAGGTGTCTCCTGGTGTCGCAAAATTTCCGAAAAAAAAATTATTTTTTTCTTATGAAATGACAGAGAATCTTTTCCCAATTGTAATGACACCAAAAGAACGAAATTTGACGGAAAACTGATGGAATTACGCTCTTGCGAAGTTAGTGCCCTCGGTGATATTTACAAATCGGCGATTTTGCCCACTTTGAGCCCTATTTTCGGGTAATGCCATTGTTCCAGTCGACCAAATTCACAGCTAATTCTTTAGAACTCCATTTTTCTAACGATTTTGTACAAGAAACTGCCCATTTACCAATTTCAACTACCCAATAACGTGGTCAGAAAATTGCAATTTGATCAATTTCACGAAAATTTAAAAATATGACAATTTCAAAATAGGGTCTAGAATGAATAATGTGGACATTCCTCACTCTAAAATAACATTTTCTTTGTTCATCAGTCACATCTTCTGGCCCCTCTGATATTACTCTTGCTTTCTATTTTGAATTTTTATTCAAACAAAAAATAGAAGATTTACTGTTATGCAGACTACTGCAATATTGTAATAATTGTATAAATAATGTCAACCCATTCATGACTGCATATCAGAATGGCTACTTGGACATTTATTGGAAAATGACATCATTTGTTTACTTTTGAACATTGGAAAAATCAAACATTTCCCCTACTTTGAGCTCCATTTCAAGATTCTTTTCATAGTAAAACCAGCAAAATCACCTCTATTTCTATAATATGTTTCCCATTCTATCAAATGAGACCAAGAAAACGAGAATACAACCATAAATACTATACGAAAATAGACCACAAAGTCGGCATTTTAATTAAAAAAAAAAACGGTCGGAGTTTTTCTTTTCTCATTATGCACTGCATACTGCAGGATTCTTTTTATATGGTGCACACTGACCACACAGACCCATTCTCTCACATGTGGGCCTACCAGCTTTCTCCTGCTTGATTTGAAGCCACTAGAATTTATGAGTATATAAACGTCAAACACGGTGGCTCGTAAGACATATGTATACGACTGAAACAGTCAAAGGGCTAAGCAAAATTGAGGGTTATTTTCAGGCTATGGTAAACCGTGGATAACTGAAACAGCGGAAACTGAATCCACGGATACGGGGATTCTACCATACACTACTGTACATGACATATATATCTGAGCTACATAAATTTACATCAAATTCAGGTGGCATTATTTAACAATATTTTTGAAACAATTACTTTTAGAATCTTCTGGTAATGCTGTCCATATTTTGGGGAATTTTATTTTCATGGAGTTTTGGGTCGAGTCACACACATGAAGAATCAGAAAAATATTGGCTTCTAGTACTGTCTATGCATTCTCTATTGGCAGCTCTTCACGAAAAGCTTTAGAACTGGGTTAATATCTATATAGTGCCCTGCGTACACCAGAGGCTCTTCTATTGTACTTCTTAATATCGCGTTTGTTTTATACTACATGTGTGCATGCATGCACACATCAGTGAAAAGGCGGGGTCAGAAGCTGTGACTCGACCCTTGCAACTACACATAGGTGAGTGCGTTCTTGCATGCACACGCATGTACACAAGCACGTGCACACACATGGAGACACAAACACATGAATGCACGCATGCACACGCACACACACACACACAACACACACACACACACACACACACACACACAGAGCAACAAGGGGTCACAGTTGGAAGTGGAAGACTTAGATGAGTCACAGGGATGTTAGGAAGTATTTCTTCAGTCACGGAGTTGTCAGGAAGTGGAATAGTCTGGGAAGTGATGTAGTGGAAGTAGGATCCATGCATAGTTTTAAGATGAGGTATGATAAAAGCTCATGGAGCAGGAAGTGACATAGTAGCGGCCAGTGAAGAGGCGGGCCCAGGAGCTGTGATTTGACCCCTGCAACCACAACTAGGTGAGTACACATGGTATATTTGCTTCATATTCTTCGTATCTCAGCTTGGACATCCAACAAGCACGTGTGTGTGTGTGTGTGTGTGTGTTACATAGGAGTGAAAACAAATGGTTTTTATGATTTAACGCTGTTAGTGTGTGAGCAAGGTGACATTTATGAAGGGACTCAGGGAAATTGATTAGCAAGCCTGAGTCCTGGAGGTTGAAAGTACAGTGCCTGCTGTCTGGTGGAGCATCTGAACCATAGGGTTAGTGCACCCCTGCCAAGATGGTGGACTGAGTGCTGGTAATTTTTTTTTTTTTTTTTTTTTTTGGGGGGGGGGGGTAGGTCACCCTACAACGGTGGGAGACAGCTGGTGCGTAAAAAAAAAAAAAAATCTTCCTTTAAATCTGACATTATTCCCTATCATACTATCATCACCTTACTGGTTTGTGTACTTTCAACTTTTTTTCCACCTCTTTCCAAACCAATGTGCAATTTTTCTTCCGAATCTCCCAAAAACAGTGTCATCAGCAATGAACAACTGACAGCTCCTACTTTATATCACATTCATTATTTCCTGACATACATCATATGCCTCATTTACAATGCCATCTACAAAGACAATAAGCAACAACACTGACATCACACATCCCTTAAGACCAATTTTTACTGTAAAATAGTCTCTTCTTTAAGTGAGTTTCACTTTCCTCATGGAAAATCTTTACAAATTTCAACATATTCCATACATTTGCCATGCCTGCCACATTGTTACCATTGCCACCCTGTCATATGCCTTTTTACAAATTAAGAAATGCAGCAAACAATGCCTTTCCCCTTATCTAAGTATTGCTCGCTTATACTCTACAAATATTTTCCTCCTCTCTCTCTCTCTCTCTCTCTCTTGTAACTATTTCAATAATAACAATTTAGCTACATACTTCACTCTTTACACTTAAACTTGCACTCTCTTTAGTCTCTCTTCCCCTTATATACTATGCATGTTCTCTGAAAATCCTAGCACTTCCCTCCCTTAATGTATTAAAATATATTACAAAACTTGATCCTTGCTCGTTTTCATCATCTATATCTAAATCCCATCCATCTTTATAACTGCTTTACCAATGTTCAACTTCACCCACTTCCACAATGCTTATTTCAGTTTTTTTTTTTTTTCACCCAACATATCCTTCTCCTTTTGAACCCATCCATTAAACATTTGCCACATCAATTTATTATCACAGATAACTTCTCAAAATATTCCCTCCATCTCTCTAGTCCCTCTAACTCATTATTTAGCATCTCATCATTTTCATTCTTAACCCTTTGACTGTTTTGGTCGTATATATACGTCTTACGAGACACCGTTTTTGATGTATATATATATGTGTACTCATAAATTCTAGCGGCTTCAAATCAAGCAGGAGAAAGCTGGTAGGCCCACATGTGAGAGAATGGGTCTGTGTGGTCAGTGTGCACCATATAAAAAAAATCCTGAAGCACGCAGTGCATAATGAGAAAAAAAAAAAGCTCCGATCGTTTTTTTAATTAAAATGCCAAATTTGCGGTCTATTTTCGAATAGTATTTATAGTTGTATTTTCGTTTTCTTTATCTCATTTGATAGAAAGAAAAACATATTATAGAAATAGAGGTGATTTTGATTGGTTTTACTATGAAAAGAACCTTCAAATGGAGCTCAAAGTAGGGGAAATGTTTGATTTTTGCCGATGTCCAAATGTAAACAAATGTCATTTTCCAATAAATGTCCAAGTAGCCATTCTAATATGCAGTCATGAATGGGTTAACATTATTTATACAATTATTACAATATTGCAGTAGTCTGCATAACAGTAAATCTTCTATTTTTCGTTTGAATAAAAATTCAAAATAGAAAGCAAGAGTAATATCAAAGGGGCTGGAAGACGTGACTGATGAACAAAGAAAATGTTATTTTAGAGCAAGGAATGTCTGCATTGTTCACTCTGGACCCTATTTTGAAATTGTCATATTTTTTAATTTTCATGAAATTGGCCAAATTGCAAATTTCTGACCACATTATTGGGTAGTTGAAATCAGTAAATGGGCAGTTTCTTGTACTCAATCGTTAGAAAAAATGGAGTTCTAAAGAATTAGCTATGAGTTTGGTCGACTGGAACAATGGAATTAGCCAAAAATAGGGCTCAAAGTGGGCAAAATCGGCGATTCGTAAATATCGCCAAGGCCACTAACTTCGCGAGAGCGTAATTCCATCAGTTTTCCATCAAATTTCGTTCTTTTGGTGTCATTGCAATTGGGAAAAGATTCTCTATCATTTTATAAAAAATAATTATTTTTTTTTTTTTTTGGAAATTTTGCTACACAAGGAGACACCTCAGGATCTGGGGTTGCGACAGTCAAGGGGTTAATAACCAAGTCCATCTGCTTCCTAGATTTTTGGACCATATTTATTTACAGTTTAGACTCAGCAAAATATGCTGATGACAACTTGGCCATTCTTTCATTTGCTCCTCTTCTGCACTACTTCACTTATTTTAACCTCTTATTCTCCCTTATACTCTGCCTTTTTTATGTCATGTTTTACATTATAAAAACATTCATTTGCTGATACTTTCTCCATTATTACTACCAATTTTTCCCTCATCATTCCACAACTCTCTCTATTCTCCACATTCACTCTTATATAACCCTAAGCTTGAAGTACACATTATAACAGCGCTCATAACTCTGTGGTATACTCCTCAGTAACCTCCTCATCAATTTCTCATACTGTAGCCCAACTTTCTTCCAATAGTTGCTCATAACTCTCACTAACCATCTTGTTTTATTTTGTCACTTTGATCTTACTCACTAATACTACCATTCTCACCCTACTCTTACTTTTGCTACCACTAAATAATGATCTGGCAACGTTCACATAAAAACCATACATTAAAACTATTTTATATTTTAATCAAATATTTTGAGTTTTTAAGGACCAACCTAAACACAGTGAATGCAACATTTGTTACAGACCTTTGCAGCTGCTTCTTGGGCAGCTTTTAGACTTGCAGCTGATCCAGTTTCCTTCATGCTCGACTATGCACAAGGAGAGTTGACCCCAGCTTTAGCAAGGTTAAGGTCCATATGTGATGAGATATATGTGGTCTCTGACAACAAGAATCAAATCATCAGTTAAGCCTATTTGATAACTAATCTATGTATATATGACAAATTCCCAATTCAGGTGTGTTCTATACAGTATTATTTCAAGAAAAAGTCAAGGTACATCTCACTGCCTTAAGTCAAGGTACATCTCACTGCCTTCCATACTTATGACTAGCACACAAACTCCAAAAAGCTTCATACTTAACCTGATTTATATGCCTGAAATTTTCTTTCAAGACAAGGACTTTCATATAAAATACTTAATAAAATTAAGTACACAAAAACCCACTGGTTTTAATATAAAAAAAGCCAATTCAAAGCCAGCATCAACCAGGGCTCATAAAAGTATATACAGAAAGGGTCTCACTGGAGAGGATAAGATGTACAGTACACTATACAAACACTACCCATAACCTGAGAAAGAGAAATACTGTAACTGGTTACAGTATTGCACCAGTGAGTTCTTAGGAATTTCTGAAGACCCAATCGGCAAGATTCTGTGCTGCTCAATCCTAAATGGTGCAGGTGTCCCATAGCTTGATTGCTAGCACACTCAGCTCACACATCAAGGTCCATGGTTCAATCCCAAGGGACAGGTAGACACATTAAGATGCATTTCTTAAGACACCTACTGTCCCTGCTCACCTATCAGTAAAATAGGTACCTGGATGTTAGTCAACTGGTGTGGGATGCATCCAGGGGACAAAACTAACCTAAATTGCCCAAAATGCTCTGCATAATAAGGGCTTTTCTATATAGTAGTATGTCATTGATGTCAGCTAGGTATGTATACCTTGTACATATACTTGTAGAAATAAAGACTATTATTATTTACCACGTGAAAATAAAGATATTAAGGATATCAAATCTTGGTACAGTAACTGAAGTATAAGTCCTTCTGACATTTTGTAGAAAGTAAATAAATTACTTGTATGCTGAAAATTTTAATTATTTCAATCAGTGTATAGCCTATTGTATCTACAACACTGTTGTAGTCTGAAACTGGTAACTATGCTTGTAGACTCATCTTCAATAAATTCTTTATTAAATAATTTTTTTTTTAATTTTGTGGTACAGTAGTAGCACTTAATATATCCTCTTTTAATCTGACAAATTTAATTCCAAAATTTTACAGTAATACAAAATTTGATTCACTGATACTGAAAGCACATCTATCAGGCAATGAAGTAAATTTTAAATAGTGTCAGGGTAAAATATATAGTATGTTCAATTGCTCAGAGACAAACGAACCAACATTTGGATTTTTTCTATGCACCTAAGATCAGATTAGATTGCATATGGCTAGGTTTATCTGTTGCCAGTCTTGAGAGAGGCAGGCCTCTCTTAGCCTGGCCTCCTGATGACTGCTCAGCCATCACAGCACACGTGATCTGACAGCCTGTAGAAACATGTCTGATTCCCTCTCGACCTCTTTACCTTTGTTCCACCAAAATATTTATTATACAGTACCGTATTTGTTGGAAGAAGATTAATCCTTAAGCTAGTAATGACATATACATTTGAGTGGCCAACAAGGCTTTCAAACAACTTTTGGGGTCAGTTGTGACTTGGTCTTTCCTAGAAAACTTATCCTAAACCATTTGATACATAATGTTGGAAAGGGAGAGGAAACAAGTACAGTACCACATCTGGCAGAAAGGTGAAGAAACCATAATTTGAGTGACTCAGATCAAGATGATTTTGAGGCAGTGTCAGCAGTAACAGTGAAGAAGACTGATGAGTTTCACAGAAATAAGGTAGTGTCTGAAAGCAGGGATGAAAATAAGTGCTAGCTAGTGAAAGAAATAGCTGGTCTTAATCCCTCCACAAATTAAAAGAAAGACAGTGCATTTACTTCATTACATAACAGAAACTGCAATAATAATGATGAGATCATAAACTATAAAGTATCGATTCTATTGATAATGAAAATATACAGGTCTCCCTCAACATTCACGTTTTCAACTTTCGCGGGCTTCACACATTCGCGAATTACCAACCGTCAAATTCCCAGCCTCCAAATTCCCAGCCGCCAAATCATATTTAAGTTTCCCGCCATCTGCGAGTCCTTACTACCCTCCCTCCGACCACCGCAACTGGCAGCCAGCCCTCCCACCAGTGTGGTGAGTGTTTTGTTTGTTCATTATTTGCTATTAAACTACAGTATAAATAATGTAAACCCATTCATGACTGCATATTGGAATGGCTATTCGGACAGGTATTGGACGGTGACATCATGTGTTTACTCTTGAACACAGCAAAGAATCAAACATTTCTGCTACTGCTAATAATAACAATAGTAGTAGTAGTAGTAGTAATAATAATAATAATAATAATAATAATAATAATAATAATAATAATAATAATAATAATAATAATAATAATAATAATAAATACGACAGAATTGAAGAAGGAAATTGTACAAAAATACGAGGGAGTGGTTGACATATCGTCAGTGTGGCTTTGTTTATGCTGGAGTGAGTATTAGTCTCCGTGCACTTCCAAACATTTCACAATAATTCATTGTGTTTGGTGCTTGTAGATTGAGTGCGACTGGAGTGGTAGAGGCAGTGGTTGGGAAAGCGGTTGAGGCATTGGGTGAGGTAGTGGGTGAGGCAGCGGTTGAGGCAGTGGTTGAGGCAGTGGGTGAGCAGCAGTTGAGGCAGTGGGTGAGGCAGTGGTTGAGGAAGCAGTTGAGGCAGTGGGTGAGGCAGTTGTTGAGGCAGTGGGTGAGGCAGTGGGCGAGGCAGTGGGCGAGGCAGCGCTTGAGGCAGTGGGTGAGGCAGCAGTTGAGGCAGCAGTTGAGGCAGCAGTTGAGGCAGTGGGTGAGGCAGTGGTCAAGGCAGTGGTATTTAATAACATACATGTTATTATTAATAATAATAATAAATGTTATTAGTAATATGTATTATTATTTATAACATGTTATTAAATACCACTGCCTCAACTGCTGCCTCTACCACTGCCTCAACCACTGCCTAAACCACTGCCTCTACCAGTGCCTCAACCGCTGCCTCATCCGCTGCCTCACCCACTACCTCAACCACTGCCTCACCCACTGCCTCACCCACTGCCTCAACCACTGCCTCAACCACTGCCTCACCCACTGCCTCTACCATTGCCTCACCCACTGCCTCACCCGCTTCCTCAACCACTGCCACTCCAGTCGCACTCAATCTACAAGCACCAAACACAATGAATTATTGTGAAATGTTTGGAAGAGCATGGAGACTAATGCTCACTCCAGCATAAACAAAGCCACACTGACGATGTGTCAACCACTCCCTCGTATTTTTGTACAATTTCCTTCTTCAATTCTGTCGTATTTATTATTATAATTATTATTATTATTACTACTACTATTGTTATTATTAGCAGTAGCAGAAATGTTTGATTCTTTGCTGTGTTCAAGAGTCAACACATGATATCACCGTCCAATACCTGTCCGAATAGCCATTCCAATATGCAGTCATGAATGGGTTTACATTATTTATACTGTAGTTTAATAGCAAATAATGAACAAACAAAACACTCACCACACAGTGGTGGGAGGGCTGGCTGCCAGTTGGGGGGGGTCAGAGGGAGGGTAGTAGGGACTCGCAGTGGTCAAGGAAGTGGAGGCAGTGGTATTTAATAACATACATGTTATTAAACCATAACATGTATGTATTTAGTACAATTTATGACATTTTCATGTATTTTATGATTGTTCATGGTTCAACAAGTTAAGGAAGAAGTATTGTATTATATTTCCCTACAATATATTGGGGCACCAAACATTCGCGATTTTTCAACATTCGTGAGGCTCTTGATCCCCTAACCCTCGCGAATGTTGAGGGAGACCTGTATTCTCTATGGAAATACGAGCATATGCGTTATAGCAGGTGACAGTGCTGTGGGAAAACAGATAAAACTTCAGCTCATTCACTAATGCATTTAAACTTAGTAGTACTGAAAGTAATTCTGATATCACCAAAGAGCAAACAAATGATGTTCAAAAATTTCGCCAAGTGCCTGTCACTGCCGAGAAAGAAAAATCTGTGCCATACAACATACGTAATTATTATATTTAGGAGGGGAACACTAAACCTGTAGGGGTTGGGAACACTAAACCTGTAGGGGTTGGGAACACTAAACCTGTAGGGGTTGGGAACACTAAACCTGTAGGGGTTGGGAACACTAAACCTGTAGGGGTTGGGAACACTAAACCTGTAGGGGTTGGGAACACTAAACCTGTAGGGGTTGGGAACACTAAACCTGTAGGGGTTGGGAACACTAAACCTGTAGGGGTTGGGAACACTAAACCTGTAGGGGTTGGGAACACTAAACCTGTAGGGGTTGGGAACACTAAACCTGTAGGGGTTGGGAACACTAAACCTGTAGGGGTTGGGAACACTAAACCTGAAGGGGTTGGGAACATTAAACCTGTAGGGGTTGTAAAGTGCCTGAGAAATGAGAGGAATTTAATCATGATCCAAGGGAGAGGAGAATAGGTCCAATTCCTTGGATCAAGAGCCCTTCACTTGCTTCAAAGAACCTCTTTTGTGGGGCCACAGCAATAGCTTACCCAACCTGCTGGGTTAACATGAGACAACTGTACATCTCAAATTGATACTGATTTCCTGGAATACGATAGCAACATCAATGATAAAAGCAGCTACAGACCTTAACCCTTTGACTGTCGCAACCCCCAATCCTGAGGTGTGTCCTGGTGTCGCAAAATTTAAAAAAAAAAAAAAAAAAAAATTTCTTATGAAATGATAGAGAATCTTTTCCCGATTGTAATGACACCAAAAAAAACGAAATTTGATGGAAAACTGATGGAATTATGCTCTAGCGAAGTTAGCGACCTCGGCGCTGTTTACAAATCGGGGATTTCGCGCACTTTGAGCCCTATTTTTGGCTAATTCCATTGTTCCAGTCGCCCAAATTCATAGCTATTTCTTTAGAACTTCATTTTTTCTATCGATTGAGTACAAGAAACTGTCCATTTACCGATGTT